TTGTTAATTGAGGGCCACCACTCCCACCCCCTTTTCTAATTCTATGCCACCACGTGCACCTCCTTTGGCTAACCAATGTTCTCACTCCTCCTCTCCTCTTCCTTTCGCGCCTCTTTCTCCACTCCCCAACTCCTCCCATCCCCCACCTCCCACCAAGGCCTGTCCTCAGAAGAGGCTCCTCTGTTCCTTTGCTGTCATTCACACCTGAGTCTGAATGAACTATAATATTTGAGCTACCTGCCCAAGGTCAGTCAACCTTTGTAGTAAAATGAAACGCCCACTTGTTAGAGGAATGAAGATTAAGCGCTGACATGCAGTAGAAGAGACAGGGATGGAACCAGCAGCCCTTCCCACCTCCCTTTAAATCACATGCAAGCGAAAGTCACACCTGATCTCAAAAATCCACAGCAGTAGGGGCATGAAAACATTTTTTTAAATTAGTGCATGGTAGACTAGTTCAGATATTCTCTTTCATTTTCTATTTTTTAAATATTTTTTTCTTACAGCACAGGTTTTTCAGAAACTAGCTTGAAAATAAACTTTAAAAAATATATATCCTCTGTTCTCTAGACACCCAATTGATTTAAAAATCACACAGAAAAAGATATTCTAAGACCCTGTTCCTCTCCATGTGGTCCGTGGGCCAGCAGCACTGGCGTCACCTGAGTACGGGCGGGAACTACAGTCCAGTGTAAAACCCTTTCCTTTCTCAACTTGTTCTTTAGCAATTACGATGGCGGGTTCTGGCAACAGAACCCACCTGCTGAACTAGAATCTATATTTTAACACGGTGATTTCATGTGCACACAAAAGTTTGAGAAGCATTGCATTGGGACGAAGGTTGCCTCTGCCCCAAACTTACTTTTCCTGTGCTTCTCCAGAGCCAAACTGCCAGGCACCCCTCTCACTCTTGGCATTACCTTCCCCCGCCCACCATGATGAAGCCACGAGACTGGACCACAGGGTCCCCGCCCACCTCTGAGCCACTCCCTGCCCCGCAGGCTCTACCTGACACAGCCCTCAGCTTCCCCTTGCACACAGACCTTGATCTGAACAAAGCAGCTTTGATCCCAAAGGATCTGTGCAGAACATTATCACCGTATAATTGACTGAAATGCTTGTTTAAGTGTTGCTCTGTGTGGGCCTGGTGCTCTGAAAGTACAAAAAGAATTCCTGAAGGCCAAGATCAAGTCCAGCAGCCTCTCGGGGAATACCCACTCTTGTAACTGTTCCCAGCGAGTTCAACTGCTAGTAAATACCAGTGGGAGGACAACAGCAGAGCTCTAGAAGACACAGAAATACAGATCAGGGAGGGGTGATCTCTGCCTAAGGGACCATAACAGGTTCCACAGGAGAGGTACCAGGTCGGTAGTTCTCAACTCTGGCTTCCTGAGAGAGCCTTTCCTAAGGGCCTCCACCCACCCGAGTCACGGTTGGGATGGGCCCAAATACGGGTATGTTATTCAATCTCTAATGAGTCTAAGGACTCTAACATGCAACCAGGGCTGGGGAACACTTAGATTTTAAAAGAAGTGATGAGAGGATCCCAGGCTGTCTCAGCAAATGGCACCATCGCCCACCTATTGGCCGAAGCCAGAGACCCTGACCAGCTCTCATCTTCTCCCGCTCCCCACAAGGCTCTCAGATCATCTATCGTTATCTTGGGGGCACCTCTTCTGAATTTGTTCGCCCATCCCTCACCTCCTCAATGCTCCCACTGCCGCTGGCCTTGCTTGGTAACCAGCCTCCTGAGTGTCTATAATCTACTCCTGAATCTCTTCCTCCCTAATGGCCTGACTTTCTAAAACAACATATGATTCTGTTACGGATAAGAGTGCCTGCAAACACTCCAGAAGCCCTGTTGACAAACTCCCATGCTGGTTTCTCCTCCCACCATAGCCTTGGTCCCAAAACTCAGGCAAGATCCCCCACCTCCACACNATATTTGTAAACAAAACCACTAACACATCACCATATAAGTGTCTAATCACTACATTGTTTTGCACACCTGAAACTAATATAATTCTGTGTGTCAACAATTGAAAAATAAATTTAAAAAAAACTTAAAAAAAAAAACAATTTTTTTAAGATGCTATGGAAACTATGTGGCAGATTACTTCCATATCTACTAACTTTGCGAATGAGAAGGAAAGTCAATTTAGAAAGAGATGCAAGTATATGTCACTTTCATTCATCTGGCCAAAGAATGCAGAAGCACTGATGATGAACATTTAATATGGTTGGTTACAGAGTAACTCAGCATTTCCTGAGGGTTGCTTCACAAAATACTATTCCAGAAGATATTGATAGGCATTTTACATGCACATACACATACCCATACAGACAAGACTTCATAATCAATGAGTTGGGGAAAACTGCCTTAAGGTCACCAGTTTCTTTACTGCAGGACTTCTCAGAGCCTTCCTTAAACATTAGAGTATGGCATTCCTAAACTTATTTTTTTCTTGGACCATTATATGGGGCACATGTTCCACAGAGCCCCTGGGAAATGCTATTCTAAGATAATTTTTGTTATAAATATGCTTCTGAAATGTGAATTCATTTTTAGTGCCCTGTTTTTCATTGAGAGCTGAATTAAGTATGTGACACTGTGTACTCAGGCTCCTAACGTTCTCCAAAATCGAAGGTAAGAACTAGGCTCACTGGTGACCATCAAGCTTCCATGGTCAGGCTCTTTCCTAGGTTACACACACACACACGGTCATTTAAGAGAGCAAAGCAAATATTCAAAGCCAGATCAGGTCACAGCCCTAGAAGACCCAACTTGCACTAGTTGGCTCTGGAATTACCTGGATGTTGTAGCAAGCTCGCTGGTGAACATGTTTCTGTGGCTGGACATCACTCTCCATCCCCAGAGACATGACCTCCGTCCTTGACGCACAGGTGTCAAGCATCCCAAACTGAACAGTAGCAAATGGATACCAATCAGAGGGGATTTCTTGGTCTGATCCAAGTTCTAGTTTGTATGACAAACAATGGGGATGATCAGGACCTTGAAGAAAAAATCGAATTGTCAGTTAAAGTATTTCAATGTACACTAAACATTTCTCTTGAATGGAAGACACATTCATCCCTCTCTTTAATAAGTGATTCCATTAGTACTCGTGCAGTATGAATTCCATTAGAACAAAATACCATCAAAATTCATAATTCCACACTAAGTACGGGGAAACCCATCTGTTTTTTTACGTACTAGCTTTAAAATAAGAACAATTTTATTACTACATACATGTATATATTAACTCCTAAAAATGTTTTCTAGTAGAAGTATGCCAAGTTTCTTTAAAAGATAAGTAATATTTATATTAAGTATCACTATTTGGCTACAATGTGCATAGGATCTGTAAAAAAAACACTTTCTCTTAAGTAGTCTGAACAAGATCTTATAATAACTTAATTCATTCACTTTCTTACCATTATTCATAGTTAATGCAAAGGTAAACTTCAGCCTAAATTAGGTCACGTTATACAAAATTCTGATTTTTTAAGGTTAAACTTAATGAAATTTTATTACATTTCAGAAAATATTCTAGGCCAAGAATTCCTTTTTCAGTAGAACAGATTATACTTCAGTGCATTAATTTCCGCTTATCTTCCTTAAAGCTTTCACTGGAACAGATACATACTGTAGAGATGGCCATATTGGCTTTCTATGTTTCAATCTAGTATTTATTTTCACTTAATTTGCCATTTATTGAGCATCTCCTCTGTGCCAGGCCAGGCTCTGTGCCAGACCTAGGAATATCAGATATACACAAAGATTTTAAGTGTGCTTATATAACGTGTGTGTGTGTGTGTGTGTGTGTGTGT